TTTCAGAGACACAGTGTAATCTCTGAGCCCAATATACAGAGAAAGGAGGAAAAAAGCTAGAATTCTATGCACTACTACACAGGGGCCTAGCCACCTCCAGCTCCCAGCAGAGCTAAGGGAGCCGAAGGTTTTTCTTTTTTCCCACAGAGCACGGTGGTGTTGATTCCATTAAGTTTTTCTTGAGACAGGAAGGGATAAAAATGAATTTGGAACAGAAAGGGGCAAAGATTCTTTTCCCACTGTTTTCTGCTCAAGGTACATCCCCCCCAAATAAGGTGAGAACCATGGTGTAAAGGAGAGAAAAGAGACCTCAAAAACAGGGCGACTGAGCACAAGAAGGGGAGAAAAAAGAAAAAGAAAAAAGACTGCAACTTGCTCCCAGGGACTGGAGAAAATTAAAAAAGGTTGGAATCCATCAGTGTTCATTAGTCATCTTCTCCTTCATCTTCCTGTAAGGAGAAAAAGCAGGCAATTAATCTTTAGGGTTAATTCTAAAGTCATTTCCCAACATTCATAGGAACCATGATGAACTCCACAGAACACTATGAAGAATCTAATTTTAGCCCTGACTGGTTTGGCTCAGTGGCTAGAGCGTCGGCCTGCGGACTGAAGGGTCCCGGGTTCGATTCCAGTCAAGGGCATGTACCTTGGTTGCGGGCACATCCCCAGTGGGGGGTGTGCAGGAGGCAGCTGGTCGATGTTTCTCTCTCATTGATGTTTCTAACTCTCTATCCCTCTCCCTTCCTCTCTGTAAAAAATCAATAAAATATATTTAAAAAAAAAAAAAAAGAATCTAATTTTATAGACCTATATATCACAACCTATGCTCAAATCTTAGCTGAATGACCCAGTGACTTTATTCCAGATAAATTAATTTTTCAGCACTAACCAAATCACTAGACATCTTTCAGACCAAATAATCCAAAACACAGTCTGTAAGAATTTTAGTGAATCTAAAACATGTAAATTTGTTATTTGGGAGATTTCTCCAAATATGACCAGCTGCACTATCCATACCACTTCCATTAAAGTACTGGTTAGGGAAGGACAGGATTGTGTGGTCATAAAACTAACCACAAAAGCAGAACAAGTTAAAAATCACTGATACAATCTCATCAAAATTCCTCCCAATCTTGTACAACAAAATAGCTTATCTCTTCTACAAATCCTCCCATAATTAGTTGAGTCAGTCCCATTTTACAATATATATAACCTCTAAAATAACATGGCTTCAAAGATTATCTTTCTGGACTTACCTCTCCTTCTTCCCCCTCATCATCATCTTCATCTTCTTCACCTTCATCCTCATCCCCTTCTTCATCAATATCTTCCAACCCTTCCTCTTCTTCATCATCATCATCATCTTCTTCTCCTTCCCCTTCTTCATCATCCATGTCAGGAACCTTAAAAAACCAAGTTATGTTAAGAACTCATTTTCAAACAACTAGTGAAACCTTGAATAATAGACCACTCACTCAACTCACCAAGTAGTACTGTAATGGATTTGGCCAAATGTCATCTTTGATGACTTCTCCCAACTCATCTGCACCTGCATCAGAATGGTCGGTGAACCAGGTAAAGAAGCTTTCTGGTTCCTCATGCTGTCTCTTCCTGCTGGCTTTATTCTGTGTTTGACTTGAACGTTTCGTCAAATCCTAAATGAAGATATAAGAACTTTTGATGTAGGCTCTCTACAAAACCTAAGTCCTCCATAATTCAAACAGCAAGATTTTAACCCAAAGGAGAACAAAAAATGTACATCAATATATTATCAAACTATTATTCTTATTTATGAGAAATTACAAAATATAAAGAGAAAAGGCCCTAGAATTCTAGGTCTAGAAAGATTGTTGTCAAATTTGTATGACAAGGTTTTCCTGAAAAGGTACCATCATTTAACTGGCTTTTTCATAAAATTAGTTCCACTTTAACAACCAGTCCAACATAGTGTTATTTAAAAGATATTTACTAATTAAATGTGGGAATAAATGGATTTTGGGTGGTGGCATGCCATTGGAAGAGCTCGATCATAAATTAAGAAACAAAAACTAGTCAATTTCTATAAAAGTTTGCACTGCACAAGTTATGAGAGTTCCAGACTACTGTATTTGACTTAAACACACTGTAGTTTTTTGTTTTGTTTTTTAATCCTCATCCTAGGACATGCTGAGAAGAGAGAAGAGAGCAACCTCTATCCATGGGAGAGAGTGATCGGTTACCTCCCAGACAAGCCTGCTGGGGGGTTGAACCTGCAATTCAGGTATATGCCCTGACCGAGAATCCAACCAGCAACCTTTTGGTACACAGGCCGAAGTTCAACCAACTGAACCACCCTGGCCAGATTGGAATTTTTCTTGTATTTTAAGGATTTGCATAACACATTACCAAAGCACGAAGTATTGTTAAATGATTCAACTAAACCAAAATATACAAAATATTTTTGCCAAACAAGTTCTCAAATACCTTTCCAGATTTCCATTTGATTTCAGTGGACTTTGAAGACGGATCACCACTCTCGTTCAGATGAAACTCTTTGGAGAGAACTTTATTTTCGAAGTAAGGATTTTCATCAAAATACTACAAGAAATAGAGGATTAGAAATCAATACAAACAGCTCTTCTAACCAAAGATCAAGTTAAAATATCCATAGTGGCAAACAAGAGTTATTGATACTCACAAAATCTATTCTGTAACCTGATTTAATATCTTCAAATTCTGTCACTTCAACTCTTGTCAAATAATGCAGCGCCTCTTCATCCTCTTCCCCAAGCAGTGCAGACACTAGACCAGCAAATTATAAGCCAAATGAATATTAAACAGACCAGCACTAAGTAACTCAAGTGCTTGTTAAAGCACTTTAAAATTTTTTCCTAATTTAGTGAGCATCTTGGTTTCATAAATCCATTAACTGAAAACCAAATGGCTCAGAGTGTCAGAGCTAGCAACATCATTTTATCAATTAAAGACAAATTCTGAGTTAGAATAGACTCTTCTGAATAGACAGAAAACATTAATTATAAGCCTCCCCTCTGTGTTTCAACCTCTATGTGTAACCAACATGTTGGACCAAGTCCTCAACCAAGGTTCCTCTACTCCTTAACAAGTGGACATCCGACTTTAGTAATGCTCTGCTGATAACATACCTTGTGGATGGTTGACAAATGTTGTTACCCAAAAATTTGGGATTTTGGCGATCAATTCTGACCTCTTCTGAAAAAATGGTTGGCGGAGTTTGTTATATTTCTGTTCTACTTTCAAAATCTCCTCACTGGCTTGTTCATTAAGTCTGAAGCAAATGAAAAGACATGTTGACAACGATGGTATTTGACAAATACAAAAATTGCTGAGACTACAGAATATATACTCTTGTTAGCTTTAGAAAAGGGCAACGTACACATTTATAATAAACCAAATCATCTAGATTTTTGTACCCATATTAAATTCAAGTCAAAACTAAGTTGGCAATTTGATTTGGGTTAGGCACTCAGTAATGGGCAGTTCTTTAACTAGGTGCCCAAACCGAGCATTTTGGTAACGCTGTACATTTACTTCAATTACTACCCGGCAAACTTCAATTCAGTGTCCCTCAGGCAGATGAAGGGGGGAAAGACTGCTCATCAAGTCAGAACAACACTGATGCCATAAAGCTAAACTGTCAGAAGTCCATGCACGGCAATTCAGGCAACTCGCAGCCTTTAAAAGGAGATGCAATCTTTACAAAGTCAATGTACTTTCATCGGAAGCTTTTTGGTGACTACAATCTTTCGCAGAAAAATAACACTGACTTCATGTTTCCGCTATCATAACCATCTCCACTTAGCCAGTGGATAGAGATTTGACCAGTTTCAAATATCACCATAAGATGTGTTTCAGAAAACGTCTAGAAATTAAGAAAAACCTTACCTGTCTATTTCATTTTGTACTTCATCAATATGTTCAATCGCTTCTTGCTGTTCTTTTTCTGCAAGAAAAAGATGCATAAAGCTCAATACTAATTAGAAGTATTTATATTTATCTACCTTTTCTGATATGAGCAGTCTCTCTGAGTTATATCAATAAAGCTGTAAAAAAACACACACACACAAAACTGCCTACAAGGCATGCCCTCCACGTGTTCATGCAGGTAGCTGACAAAATTCAAAGACAATTCACAAATCATGCTGTTAGGTATTCAAAATGCTTGTAGCACTTTTTAGGAGTTACATTACTAAGAGACTAATCGTTAAAGTTTCTATTAAGAAAGGCAAGGAATACACCTTATTCGGGAATCCCTAAGTGTTTATTATTCATCACATTATATACCTGCAATATACTAACACCAGCTGCTAAGTTAAACTATGGGAAGCAACCCACGACATTAACAAAAACCAGGACCCCGCGCATCCATCCAACGGCAGCATCGCTCCAAATAGGAAGCCGAAAATACCGCTCAGTCCCCACAACTGCAACACAGACAGGGCCCTGCACACGGACCATCGCCCCCCCCCCCCACTTCTCCTCTTTACAAGGCGAACCCCGAGACTCCTGTCTGACCTTCCTCACCCTCTCCAGCCCCATTCCAGGCAGGCTGATCTCAGGAGGGCCCAACACTTACAGGGAGTCAAGCATGAAGTCAGAAAACTGGGAGCCCCAGGAGGAGGAAGAAAAGGAGGCGCGCTGCGGGAAAGCTGCCCTTTTGTCGGGCAGAGACGGCAAAACCGATAAACTAAGTGGGCGTGAAGGGCCCCGAGCGCGCGGCTCGTTTCCGGCCACCATCCCGGGGCTGCAGCCCCC